CACTTATTTTTTGTTTCGTAAGCAGGATTTTGAGACTGCAAGTAGATCAAATATGCGAGATGCATTCACTTTACTTTGCTGGTATTGGTATTTACATTTTCCTACAATCACATGAGTAGACATTACTTTCCCATTGCATTTTACCATGCTTTGATTTTCCAGCAGATATCCTCAACCAGGCTGGAGTGGATTGCAATTTTGATCTCGCCTTAACTGGTCCAATCACCAGCCTCAGTGGGACTCGAACCCGAGTTGTGCTAGTGCAGTGTATCATCGCGACACGTTGACCACTACGCCAGACTGTCACGAGTGTCCTTGGGTCGCAGGACAGTGAGACTCTCTCTCTCCATATCACATTCTGTGATGAAATTGTCGATGAAGCAAAGTTGAATTTTCTATAGCAATCGACTGCATTACTTATTTTTCGTATATAAGTAGGTGTTCGAAACCACCAATATATCATTTCATTAATGCAATGAAAGACAGAATGTGATATGGGAAAATGCTCGGTCTTGCTATTAAAATTCACATTTGCTCAAAGACAAAACAACACTCGTAGCCGTCTGGCATAATGGTTGACGTGTCGCGATGATACACTGCACTAACACAACTCGGGTTCGAGTCCCACCGGGGGTGACGATGGGACGAGTTAAGGCGAGATCAAAACTGCAATCCACTCCAGCCTGGTTGGGGATACCATGTGGGAATGCAAAGCAATGTGAAATTCTATGGGAACGTAATGTCGACTCATGTGGATGTAGGAAAATTCAACTACCAATCCCCTTATTAACTTTAACGAAATAGGGCTGACATATCGCAATAATGACTACATCAGAGACCGCGTCTTAGCAAACATTAAATGCAAATTTTTCTAGCAAACTTTGCTCTTTTGTGAAAATATTATCCCAAATGAATAATCGCCAACAAAAGGTAAAAATAAGTTCTTCTAGAAAAAGCCAATTTTAACTGTCATCCCGGCAAGTGTTCGTTGAGTCTTGCTTGTGTTGACTTGTGAATCAAGCAAAACTGGTAAAAGTTTAAGGTTTTTCGAAATTATTCTTTTTTCATCCACTTTTAAGCACTTCCTCTAAGTCTTGCCAAGACGCAAAATTGCCTTTTGATACAGTCTGGATTCCTAATTTGGCTCGCGATTGCACTACGGCATGCATTCAAAAGGTCCCGCTTTCTTCCGACTGAAAGGTACATTCGAAAACTGATTCGGGAACGCAAACTTGTCGACCTCTCGGCCGAATAATTCCAGAACCGATGCATCAGAAGACAAGCAGGATTCGTTGGGCCAAAATCACTTTATGCACTCCATACACACATCAAATGGGGGACTTTCGCAACGATATACAAACTTGTGTATGAAATGGCGATAAAAGAGATACTTTTGGTGGAGCTGAGCAAAAAAACTAATTATTACGCTTAGGTTCGAGGAGCTACCATTGATGTACCTCTCTATCTCTCTGTCACATACACACACGCACTGTCGTTCTTTCTTCTTGACTCTCTTGCTCTTGACCTCAATTAAGCAGTACAAGGACAGCCAGTGAAGAGGAGAGAAGCTCTACAAACGACGTAATTGCCTTGACGACATGAGCGATGAAGTTAAAAGACACCGCACTTTGCACTTAACTACTCTTTATTCATATAAGTAGTATCGGAAGCCGAACTCGACTAATAGAAAAAACGAAAGATCATGTAAAGGCAAATAATAACTACAGTTTGGATCTTTGGACAAGTTGACATGCGAGATACAAAAAGAGTCGCCGGCTTGAGAGATTCAAGTGGCGTAAGAACTTCCGGCAACAAGACTGATACTACTTAGTCCGTTAACAGTTGAGTAGTATTGGCAACCATGTATTAAATAGAAACGAAGGCGACAGTTTCGGCTGAGGCAGTTAAGCAAACTATTTTAGACGTTTCGTTCTACATTGCTGTTGTCACGGCGGTTCTTCAATTCCTGTCATTGTCCAAACAAGACAAGACAAGGCATGGATGGCGCTCGCAATTCATTAGAGACGCCAAGAAAGTGGGAAATATATCCTAAATTTTGCAGCTAAGGGCAAATGAGTTATGTATACGACGTAAGCAATGTTAGCAATCCAAGCAGAATAAATGGCTAAAGAGAAACTGCCGCTTGGACTGGAACTTTAGGTTACATTTGTATTGGAAACTCAAAGTAAATTAGCGATAAGTCAACCCTTTTGAGTAGGAAAACTAGTTTGGACGTCTTGGTCTGAGTTTATCTCACCTGAGCAAAGCTGGTCATAAATAAAATTATGGGGCTCCACAATTTAGTTCATTATGATATACTGGATGAAGAAAAAAGTACAATTTTATTGTAATAAACAATAAAAATATTCAGAACTTATTTGACTTTGTATCTACAACTTGTTCATATTATCATCTTGTCCCGAGTCTACAGTATGCATCATAAAATTCATACCATCTTTGTCTTCATATTTTCAATAAAAGGTTCGTTATTATAAAAAAATTAACTATTACCATATTTTATATACTGGGATTTGATCTCTCTCTGTATATCACGATAAGTATGGCTAATTCATTCAAAGCGATTTTAAAACATAAGATACAATTTTAAAGCAGCATAATTTTTTCTCCGTCTCTTATTTTGATACAATTGTCAAGGATAACCAAAAAGTATTAGAATAAAAATTGATATTATAGGAAAGGCAACACAGTTTCTAAAGCATCATCATTTGTCATTTCGCTTATAAGTAGACTTTTGAGACTTATCATCTGTTGCTTTAGCAATCGCCTTTGCAAAAGATTTTCTTTAGTTGTATGATTTAAATGTCGCGAATATCCCCTTGCTCATGGACTGCAATTTGGTTGTCATGCTTGCTGGGAAACATATTACTTTTATACTCTCGCACAAATCTATCATTGTAATACTTGTGTTACTAGAGGCGACTTTTAGACCGCAGCAAGTTGATGCCGCTCTATCTTTCTACTGTATTTCTTTCACATCTTTTTAAATGCTTCGTATCTCCAATTAATTTATCCCAACCTATTTGCTCATTAAAACATTAGCATCACCAAGTTTGTGTCTTTTTATTGCATAACATTTTTCTTCAAATGTAATCACATATCACTTTTAATATTCCCTCTTTAGCGCTCGTCTCTATGGTCATATGCAATAAGGAATGCTGAATAATTGTAATACCATTTTGTATAAATGAAAACGGGATATAAGCGTGTGTTTATTAGACAAAAGAGGAGACAAAGAGGATGACAAAGTCGATGAAGTGGCGGTTGTGCCTAGAGCGAGAGAGATGCTGAATGGTCCACCTGCCTCGGTACGCTTGCGATGCTCCCTTCCACGATGAACATGTAGACGGTTGACTTTCGAGTCAATCAAGAGGGTCGGAAATAAAGACGACCCAGCAAATAGAAGGTAAGACTTTCCTCTGCTCGGCGATTTCAAGAGTACATAAGAAGGTGCTTGCAAGGCGAAGAAATGTGTTCACTATTTGCGATAAATTTGGCTGCGTCATGCCTCCCGAAGATCCACTTTCGTCCAGACTCAACTGCATCCTCGATCTTGCTCCATCGTCTCACCGGCAGCACTGCGGGATTCGGACTCGAGGAGTAAGCCGATGAGCACGACTTTCAAGACAACGCAGATCTCATTCATTTCGCATGTAATCCGGGCGCCTTCTTATCGAATGAAGAAGCAACTTTAATTTCTTTTAAGTCATCGCCTCTCAAGCCACCGATTTTCCTGAATTCGCAGGTTCCCTGCTCGAGTCCGGCCGTGGAAGAAGACTTTTATCTTTTGACAGACTTCCCTGAACTCTCAAGTGTCTGGATTGAGTGTCGTGCGATGTGGAGAAGAGTGGACTTTCAACTCAGAATCACGTTCTCCTTTCACCTTGTCGGGAAGAGAGTCCCCTCGAGATGGGAGTCTCGTGTCAGCAACCAGCTTCCGGAATGCACTGACCACTTGTGTCCTCAAGGACACGCAACTTTGGCCCCACTTTGGTTGCAGAGACGAGACTCGAGCTAGGCACCCTCGAGTGTGGCACGAGGGAAAGGTGTGCGCCGACGTGACGACGTTTTTGCGGAGGATGGGCTTGTTTGCGTGTCTGGCATCCGGTGGCTGTTGCTGCTGGGCGAGCTGCAGCCATGTCCCTCCAGGACGGTCTCGACATTTGTCTCTGGGCGGCTGCACCGCCGAGGGTGGCGCTTCATCGGACTTGGTACGGGTTCGAGCAGGGCCCAGACCGAATCCTCGAGATCCGCTTTCCTGCGCAAGCGCACAGCAACGGACAACTGGCAGAAACTCACTCCTCGACCTGTCCCTCCGTCGACGGATCGACAGTTCGAGTCCCAGTTGTGCACCGCAACTCGTCTGTACGTGTGTGTGCGTGTGTGCATGAGCCTGTTCGGCGTCTTCTTGGAGAGGTAGTGGTCACGTCACGACAAACCGAATCGCCAATGGCCACAGGAACCACGGGCCGAATCGCCTCAAACCGTTTGAGACAAAATCATCCTTGAAAAGTCTGTCTAAAATTGGCTCCCAGGCCGCCGCAATGCCAGCAGTCCACATGCTTGGCATTGTGTTGCGTAAGTCTTTTTCTCTTGCCTGTAATCCTGAATATCCACACTGAGGTTCTTTTGTCTGTGTGCATGTGTGCAATTTTCTCTGAGTCTGGGTTGGCCCTTTGCCTCATTGGAATTGATAATGAGGCCAGAGGGCCAGTGGCACTGC